GTGGCTCGCATGGGTCCCGTCGCGGCGAATTCCGAGATCTCCCGACGAGCCGAATACCTCCCGGCCGACCCAGCCGGACGGCCCGTCCACCACGACGCCGGCATAGTCGCGTCCCGGCGTGCGCGGAAACACCGCATAAGGCATCAGGCCGGTCGCCGCCTTGACATCCGACTGTCTCTTATACACATCTAGATGTGTATAAGAGACAGGGATCAACCCGCGCCGCACCCCAACATTGTTGACCAGCCGCTCCAGCAACGGCAATGGCTTCTCCACATCGCCGAGGCCGACCGGGGCCGACACGGCATATTCATGCTCGGAACGAATCGGGGGCGTGAGTTTCAGGATCACCTCGGTCATCGTCACCACCCTCACTGCCCAACGGTCTTGTCTTCGAACAGCATCGCAGCAATCCGCCGCGTCAGCATCTGGAATTCGGCGCCATCCTGCTGCGCGACGCCGAGATGGTGGCAGTTCAGCTCCGCACGCACCTGGCCCGGGTGCGGCGACAACACAACGACCCGCGAGCCGACGATGACTGCTTCCTCGATCGAGTGGGTCACGAACACCAGCGTGAAGCGAATATCGTCCCACAACTGCAGCAACTCTTCCTGCATCTTGCGCCGCGTCAGCGCGTCGAGCGCCGCATAGGGCTCGTCCATCAGCAGCACGTCGGGCTTCATGGCCATGGCCCGGGCGATAGCGACGCGCTGCTTCATGCCGCCGGACAGCATGTGCGGAAACACGTCGGTGAACTTCGTCAGGTTGACCTTGGCGATGGCGTCGCGTGCACGCGCATCCGCCTCCGCCTTGGAGACGCCGTTCTCGCGCATCGGGAATGCGACATTGGCGAGCACGGTCTTCCAGGGAAACAGCTGGTCGAATTCCTGGAACACCATCATGCGATCAGGCCCGGGCCCGGTCACCGGACTGCCCTTCAGCTTGATCGATCCCTGTCTCTTATACACATCTAGATGTGTATAAGAGACAGGCAGGACGATGACCGGCTTGTTGGTCTTGTTCTTGAGAGCTCGCGCTTCGTTGGGCGCAATGCGGCAGGAATCGAACTGTGACAGCGTGGTTTCA